TCAATGTTTAAATTTTAACACAGCCTTTTGTGTTGACTTCATGGCTCATTCCATAGCATTTAAGCCTATAGTAGGATGCCTAGACCTGTTTTTATTTTTATTTTTTTCGCCCTGTTGCTTCATATTTTTTCTGAAAAAATCCGAGAACCAACAAATTAAATTGGTGTGGCCTAAGTAAGGATGCAGAAGATGATGCACACATAATTTGTTTAGAAAGGCCTTACCTGAAGAAAGGTTAAATCCAGCAGGAGGTAAGAAAATGTCATGTTATTTAAATGCTTTAATGTGATCTTTTCATAACGCTGCAGAAAGTGGTGGGGGACCTTTCAGAGAATTCGCTAATGCCAAAAGTATCAAGTAAACATATCTTCGATGTATCCAAGCACTGTGGCTAAAAAACTGTTTGGGAATAACAAATGCGATGAAGGATAGAGGCCTGGAGGCATTGAGAAAAACAAAAGAAAATACGTACAAAATATACTGTAAATTCATTTATTTTTGCAGGAATTTAATTTTGCAAAAGTTGACCAAAAAATACAGAACTGAGTAAAAAAGAAAAAACACACTGTCAGATATAAAAATGTCTTCCATTTGTTCCCCCGAAATTTTAAATTTGTATTTCAAGCTTGATTTGGTGATTAACAGAGTTAACTCAATTAGCACGGATCACAATGATTGGATAATGGATAACACCATTGCCAATGAGAACTGTTCTCTCAGTGTCAGATATAGAAACGTGAGACAGGTACAGGTAACACACCTGTTGGAGAAACACCTGTGGATTTAAGCTAAAGGATCAAAGGATCTCTACAGATCAGAAATATTTTCTCTGCTGACAACAGAAACATCCCAAAAATTTGTGGGGAGCTTCCTAAAAAAAGCTTGTTGTTTTAAAAGATTTTGCAGCAAATTCAAGATACTACTGGCAATACATATAAATACATAAACAAACAAATAGATCATTGGGTACAGCAAGGAGGTTCCCAGCCTGACAGTGAAAAAATTTAGCCTCCTTTGCAGACTTCTTAGGGGGCCCGCATGCCCTTTTCCGTAGAGCGTAATTCGGCCGTTTCAATTCTACGTAGAGTGAAAACGGACTGCTCTAATTCAACGTAGAGTGTAATTGGTGCATTTTGCATAGAGCGTATTCGCCGTTTTAATTCTAAGTAATGCGTTGTAGCCACTTGGAATTTATCGTAAGGCGTAATTGAGAGGTTTCCGAATTCAGCGTAGAGCGTTGTCGGGACCCCCCCTTGCAGACCCTCATCCAAGGTGTGACCAACCCTTGAAGCACACTTGGTGTTACCAAAAAGAATTCCGTCCCAACAGGTAAGCAGATAAAGAAGTCAGATAAGAAGAGAGAGACCACAGGTCTTCACACTGCCTGGTGGGTACAACACGCCTGGGGAGCAGGCAACGACCCTTGTCACAAGTCAACCCTTCCTGAGTCGAACCTAATCCTTCACAGCATCCACACATGACTCAGGTCTTACAGTTTGCAGTGTAGTGTTTTTTCTTCCTTTAACTTGGTCCATTGGGACCTGTATGCAGGGCTCAAAATTGAATATATTGGGAATAGGTACACTGGTGCATCCAACCTAAAAAATTGGGTGCACAGAAAATTTTTACGGTGTACCATATGAAATAATTTCATACATGTACAACAAAGACTCAGTCGTGTGACTTTATTTTTCTGACATTTAGATGTCAATAATATAACGTATACGGTACAGTATTTCTAGTATACATTAGATATCTTTACTAAGTAGTACGTAAACCTAGGAAAATATTTGGGTATGCTGGTGCACCCACAGAAAAAAATTGGGTGGACAGCTACAATTTTGGGTGCACTAAGGTGCACATGCATGCAGTATTTTAAGCCCTGTGTATGTGTAGCAGTTTCACTACCTTACAAATTATAGAAACAGTAAAGTAAAGAGTTCTAATAAAATCACTTGCATTTCTGACACTTACACAAACATTTCTATTTCTGAATTATAGTTATACCTTGTTTTGTCTTAAAATTTATTTCAGTACATCACCTGACATTTCTAAAAATCCTGAAGAAAGAAAGAATTTCATGATGCCAGTTTACCAAAAGGAGTAAAGTATAATTGTTTGTGGCTTGTCTGTATAATTGTTTTTAGCATGTCTGTACAATGTATGTCTGTGTTTGTGTGTGTGTTTTTTTCTATGCAAGACCAGTGTTACCCAAAGCAGAACTTCTATATACATCCTTGTTGTCACACGTCACAAAGTTTCTGCAATTGACGGAAAAACCTGTGCTGGCTAGAGCCTAGTAGTCTCTACCAGACTAACTACGCTGGCTATATATGTATGACAGGCTGAATAAAAGTTCTAAACAGGAACTATGCGGCTCCAGATGTCTTACTGAGGGACGACTGCGTGTGCGAGATGTCGGTTAGCTGATCGAGGAATGAGTCCCCTCAAATTCACATATGCTGGCTATATACTATATATAGGAGAATATTTGCCAGGGGAGTTTGGCCACTTTGGGGTTTGACTGGCCGCTTCGGAGGGAAAGAAAGAAACTAGCTTCCCCTGGCCAATTTTAACTCTCCTTTTTGCCAAATTCTACGATCCATATTCCCGTAGAAAGGCCTGGTGGAGGCTAAGAGCCAAGCTGCTTTTTGGTCGATTGGAAAAAAGAGGTGTTGAAAAAGGTGTCTTCACTTCAACAATGGCAGGCTCCACTACACCTAAAGGACCTGGCCCCCCATCAAGACAAAACAGTACATGCCATTGGTCAACTCCGCTTTCATCCCTAAAGTGGACACTCTCTACTGTGCAAATACTGGGGATAGCATTGCCATGTTGTAGGTATAACACAGACATGGGGAAAAAGAGCCTTGAAACAGAGAGTCAAACTTCATTTTTAGGGAAGCACTCCAAAGCTATATATATATAGTATAGCATAGACATAGATAGAGGTTAAAGTTTAGCCTTCTCATACTCTCTAGCCAAGGGTTTACGGAGTGGATTCAGACTTCTTTTTAGCTTTATCAGAAGTTTTGTTGGGCTTTCTTTTTTGTCAACTTTTTTTTTGTCGAGTTTTGGCACTCTGGTGTACTTGGGGACAAAATGCTATAAAAGTCCAAAAATATGCCTTAAAACACAATTAAAAAGTAAAAAAAAACAGAACCACAAATGCTATGAAAAAGTCCAAAACCAGGCCTAAAAAATGCTAAAAAAAAGTCCTAAAACAGGCCTAAAATTTGGTCGAAGGATATCCTTTCTACCCAGCATAGAAAAGGTTCAAGACAGGTGTGTTATCTTAACCTAAATACAACACCTTGGGACAAATACATGGACTCTTCACTGTACAAGCCCCTTTCTCAAGGGTTTCCCTTGCATTCCCCCCACCCCCTTCTGTCAGCGAAGGTTTCAAGTCTCTCTACCCCTCCTGTGATCTTCAGTAACACTAAAGCTGACACTAAACACTCAACCGACGCACACATAACAGATAAATACTGGAAGAGCATGGGTCATCTTTCGAGATGGAAGGATGCCTACAGTCAAATCAGGTCTTTTAACTTTTAATTGAATTAGTGGATAATCAAATTATGTTCTGACACCATATATTCCAACACGTTTTGACTAATCTTCCTTTTAAAATAGGGCTAGGGTTGTTCATAGGTTAGTTGCCAGAGTATAGGCTACACCCATACGACAGTATGGGTGTAGCCTAGCCTCTTTCAGGCCCCCTAGGTTGCTGGAAAAATGGCCAATTTCTGCTAGTTTTCCCAGCAACCTGTGAAGCCTGGTAGAGGCTAGGTGTAGCCCTAAAATCATGCTTTTTTTTTCTCAGCAACATTTTTTTTCTAAAAGTTGACTGACACTTAAAACTGACTAAATGCAAAATTACAAGGTGTGAACAAGATATTACTGATATTTATCTTGTAAAAACTGGATTTTTGATGTTAGAAATTGATATTTACAATATTGCACCTTGTTTGTAGAATGGCTTTACAGAGAAGATGTACAAAGACAGTGTTTGTCAGTGGGTACTGTTGCTAAAGCTTCAGAAATGTTTTAAACCAAACACTATAGTCAGATTTCTTTCCCTTCCATGGGAATCCTTGGAATGGGGAATTCCTTTTAGAAACATTCCCGTCATTATTATATTATCAAAGCTGTGAAAAAAACATTTCAAGTAGTGGCAGAATTCAATTTTTTTCTCTCTTTTACACGAAATAAAGAACAAATTTAAAACCAGTGGCCAACATATTCTTTGTAAAAATATATCATAATATTAAAAGTTACAACAATAATGGCCAAAATTAGCATGATTTCACTACAATACAGGTTACACAACATATAATCAGGTAAATTCTACAAGCATGATATACCTTATATATGGTAGTACACTGTATAATACTTGCGTAAGTTGTAAAAGAATATTTGTCCAAGGCCGGTAGTTTGAATAGGAGTGAAAGTCACACCACATAAACTGACATTTATACAGGCTTTCTTCCATTCTGGAAGTATACAGTAACAAACTTTGTAAAGAAATGTGACCTATGGACACTTAGAGACATGGATGCATCACAAAGCAACACTGACAGCACCCATGTCAGAAATGCATTTGTGGGAAACTCCAACCACAATAGTGGTTTCAGCCCTGTGCCTCTGATATGGCTTCCTAACACAGAACACACAGACCGTGACAACAACAATATCCACCATGTAAAATGGAAACAAACTCTTCAACATTCTTCCAATGACTTCAAAACGCAACATTACAGATCCACGTATGTAATACCTTCTATATACCAATTACCAATACCATATGCAACAGTTAAATGAGTTAACAGCACTGTCTTGTACTTAAAACATACATTTTGTATTGACTGTGTTCTTCTTTCCCATGCCACAGTATCCTATGCCAATACGTTACCCCCACTAAACATCTTTGCTAGGAAATTAAGATAAGCTTCCCCAAACAACACACCTGTCGTACATAAACCAGTGACACCTACCTTGCTCTACCTGCACAGGTGTTAAATCCAAGGCGTCTTGGCGTGAAACGTCTTTAAACGTTGAAGAAACGGCGTGTGTGAGCAAGGACTCCCTGAAAGAACGTGCCGGCAAAGCAAGCCGCTCAGCTGGTTTTCACACTCTACGATCACAGGGCTCCCACCAGGCCACCTTTGGGGACACAAAAGATGACTCGTTAATATTCATGAGCTGGCACCCCTCAGCCAATTGTCTATCAGTGAGGCTTGAACTCATGAATATGCATTAGGGGGAAGGTGAGTGCCTTGGGGGCAAATTGTGCATGAAATTTATGTTAATGAAGGTAATTGGATAAGGTATTGAAAGGAAAGCACACCTCCATGGGAAGCCTTTTTCATAAATATGTGAAGATTTTGGATACCAAAAATAGTTCATTATTGATGATGTGTAGAGATATTTGGGATTCTCTCAATTAAATGGCTGTTCAAACCACACATCTTTGACTAAATTCTCAGACAACTAAGGCCAATTCACCACCCTTTCTCATTTTTGAAGAAAAAAGTTAAAGTATTTGTAAAAGACAAGTTTCAAAACTGGACCTCAACTTTAAACTTAAATTTGAAATCTTACAAGTACACAAGAACTGCAGTAAAATGGTCGTATCTGAATCATTTTCATGCCATTAGCAAACAGTTGTTTTCAAAGTGATAGTACACTGTCAACAAGTGTGTTCTTCCTTCAGAGATGTCCTCTTTTGTTGTCCCAACCATGCCACCTGTATGAACATCTTTCAGGACCCCCTAGGTGCACACCCCTATGGAGTGATGACCAGACCTGAGGGAAGGGATGATGCCTGTTGTCACACAGCTTTTGTGAGGGAAGTTCCACTATTGTCCTGGATGGTTCCACATCTGTGAGGTCCAGTCAAGAGTGACAGGGACCCAGGGACTGTCCATTATTGTATAGATTAGGCTGAATGGGGACTCTACAAAACTTACTAAAATAAACACTAAAAAATCCACATCCAAGATGATGCATGACCACTGTATCATTTTTATTCTCAAAAGTCCTTCTGAAAAACATTTTCAGATAAGTCTTGGAAGTTTCAGCCACCTTGTCGCAGGAAATAATGAACGCTCCCTTACATTCAGCCAGCTGACAATACACAGTTATTGTCTGCTCTTTATATCATAATGGTAGAGGGTACCCTGACACCCCCCTGTCAGGTAGTATTGTCTGTACCCTCTAACATCTGCTGAGGTACCCATAGGAGGACACACAAACTGGGTGGTAGACCAGGGGTGGAAATAATTGTATTATCTGTTCAACTTCAAAAGATGGGGGTACAGTGTAAGGTTCATACTCTCCAAGCAGAGGTTTGGGTTATTTTTTGTATGTTTTTAGACTTTTTTAATGACAATTTTTGCAATGGAATTTTTCTTTCACCCGACCCAAAATTCCAGTGCAAAAAAGAAACCCCGATAAAAAGTCTAAAATAACCCAAAAACCAAACCTCTGCTTGGAGAGTATAAGGTTTAGTCAAACTGTTCAAAAAGACCACTCAAGAGAAAAAAAAGTGGTCTATTTGGACAGGTGGTCACCAAAGGAAGAATTCTAATCTAACTCAAAGATTGTTTCAATGGGAAAAATTATTTTAGGGACCATTGAAAGTGAAGAAGTTTCCTTAAAGTTTAAAATGTAAAAAAAAATTACTGAGTGGCGTCCATTGGCACGGCATGATACATTTAAAAGTTAATCTTATTTTGCGACTTAGCTTTCTCCCTGCTGCCTAACCAATAGAGAATTGGTAGACAAAATGCTACTTCGGTATACCAAAGGTTAAAAAGGAATATATCTTTGAAAAACTGACAAAACTGCAAACAAAAAAATTCCAGATCCTGAGCAGAATTTATGAGGTGGGTCTGACTTCATTAAAGCTTCCCAGGGCACAGAAATGTGACCTGAACATTCTCATGCAAACGAAAGGCCACCCGCCATTTTGTTGTCCTTCAAATGCCCTTTCCATAGAACTGGACCTTCCTTTCAACCTGGGACCACCAAAGAACAAACATAGAGCACAAATAAAACGTCACACAAAAACCCTCATTTACTTCTTCCAACAAAAAGAAATTAATGAATTCAATAGCAAATCATCAAAGTGTCCAAATAGGGAAGGCGGACAAAACTTCAAAGACGAAAGGGATGAATTTTAAACACGCTGAGCAAATATCAGGAAAGACCAGAGGAAATAGGTCACTCAAGGGTCATTTGTCAAAGTCTAGTGGTCATTGATTTAATTTCACTTTCATCACCCATGGTATATAGATGCTTACACAGCAAATATCCTGGATCCTTCCTTCTCAGTCTATCTGGTACAGGAACTGGTTTTAGCTTGATTAAACTAGCCTCTACCACTTCTGAGGCGGTTTGAAAGAGAAGAAATTGGCCAAATACTTGAAATAGACATAGTATTACCAAGCTAACAGAGATTGATGCTATGTAAAGCAGACAGACACCAGGAAAATAATATTCCAAGCTCTGAAAATCTTTTCTCTCAATTGATTGATGTTTCTGCCATCACAAGCAAAAATTGCCAATACTTTTGTGGCTTCAGATGAAAACAAAATAACTACGTATTTTTCCTCGAGACAATCTTTCACTCCTGACTCATAAAAGATGACAAAAGCTTGATTTTTGCTTTAATCAATGTTTCCATATAAAAGAGAACACAAAAATAACTTCTAGTAAACCTCGGGGAGCAAAAACGTTATGATGATCAATATTTTTGCCACAACAATATTGAAAGAATTGCCTCAGAAGTCAAAATGGTTGTAGACGTTATGCCTTGAATCAATGGTACATACAAGGTCTTCATTTTTCTTTCCATGACAGTCTAATAATTTTTTCTGTACATGTAAAACAAAAAAGAAAGCACAGCAATTTTTATAGGACTCTCCTAGCCAATGGAGACCAAGAAACAGTTACACTGATTAGTGCTCTTTAACCAATCAAAATTCAAAGTGCTAATGATATATATATACCTTAGAAGTCTAATCTAACTTGAACATCATTCTACAACTACAGTCTACAGACAATTTATGTTAATATTGAGTTGAATTCTGTACATTTCTGTTGTTATAATTTTGAATTTTATGTGGACTCCAGGAAGAATAGTGGTCAGTTGAACACTAATGGAGATCTAATAAAAAACAAACAAACAAACAAACAAACAAACATATGGATTCTTTCTCTGTGACTCACAACTTTGTTCGGAAATTCCAAAATCTTGAAGGACACATTAATTAGATTATCATGATTATCGTATCACTTTAATTAAATTAAACGATTACAGAGAACAGTCAGACACTCACAAGAATTTCAATCAAGGTAACTTAAAAGCCACAAGTGTTACAGGGATAACTTCTACGGTTTAAAAGCCCGGGCACCGTAATCCTTTTAGTGTCTGGTGGAACACTTTCAGGCAGTCGCCGCATCTTAAGAAGGATTAAGATATCTTAAGCCCAAAAGCCGCAAAACTTCTGACGGTCACCTTAAGGTCATAAGGAGGAGACAGATGGCTTAAGTTGAAGTGTTGAAGTCTTGGAGAAAGTCTGTTTTCTCTAAGGACAGAGAAAATGTCAACACTTGGTCCTGTACATGTCAGCATGTGTCTGAGTGATTGATATGGGAACATTCCACAGACGATTGATTATGCAGTCTTGTCTCTACTACAAGTACAAGGCCAAGGGAAGGAATGTCTGGTTTGTAAAACTTAAGTTTCTGTTCCTACAGAAATATGTTGAGTTATTACCTTGCATTGATAATATGGTAGTAAAAAGAAAACAAGAAAGTTTTGGCGACCCTTTTTTCTTTCCTTCTGTGTTTCAACTTTCTTTTCTATTGTTCAGATCTTCCTTCTTTCTACCTTTTATCTTTTTTACCTTTCCTCCACTTACATTTTTCTCTATTTTCTGTCTTTTGGCCTTTTTCTTTTGAGTTTTTCTTCTTCCTTTCTCCTAGCCTGGTTACCAACCCCATTTTAGCTGCAAAAGTCTCTTTTTGTATTTGATGAGAGAATTGGTAGCTAATGTCGGTTTGGAAACTAGGCTAACTTTAATACTTCTTTTTCTTAAAGTTCTTTTTTTCTTTTCTTGAAATTCTGCAGTTCTTTCAAGAATTTCATTTCCTATGTCTGAAATGTATATCTGAAAGCTGAATCCCTAAATACAACATATCAACTTAGAACACACTTCAAACAATTTTGACTGCATGGCAAAAATCTTTCAAACAACTGGCATATTTCTCTTTGCCCGTTGGAATCTCTAACAACAAACAGTCTGATAAAACAAGTCCTCCAGTCAAAACACCATCAGCACTTTGGCTTTCAAAGTCAGTGTCTTTATCAAACACTGATACTGAAGGGTGGAGAAGGAAGTTAGGATCAGGGACAAGTACGCTGAGGCCACACCAATTTTAATTTCTTGGTTAACGGATTTTTCTAGAAAAATTATGGAGCAGGTGGGAGAAAAATAAATAAATAAAAACAGGCCTCGGCATCCTATTATGGCCCAGAATGATACGATATGAGCCATGAATTTCTAAGTCAACACACCAGGCTGGTTCAAAATTTAAACAATGAATTTTGAACTTTTAATGATATCACTGCATTGAAAGATGGAATAACTGTAACAACTAGGAAGAAAAGGACTGTTTTCAACTGTTCAGGGCAAAGCATTTTGCAGTTGATCCTGAATTTTTTTTTTTTTTGGCAAATCAGAAAAAAATGAAGCGGGTGAATCCGTTAACCAAGATATTAAATTGGTGTGGCCTGAGGCCTAGGAAAGAAATGTTGCTTTCCTGTTTCTCGACTGTCCCTAGAAAAAAACTGCCAACCCTAGACTTTTGTGTGTGCATGGAAGAGACATAAATTTTTCGAGCTGATCGCCCTTTTCTAGCTCCATGAACTGATACCTGAGTGATAAAATGTTGTACAATCGGGTTTCCAACATTAACATTGAAAATTATGAGTGTCCTCATGCAAGTTTTACTTGTTAGTTTATAAACTGTGTTGTATTAGTCGCATAACTTAAGAGATTGCCAAAGTCTAAAAAAAAAAAGAACATCGGTAAAGATACAGTAATCCCTACCTCCCTACCTACCGACCCTAATTTTTTTAAGGAATGAAACA